CCATGTTGCTTGCTGTGACATAAGTAAAAATCCATTATCTCTGACCCAGGAGCTGTATGCCTTCAGTTTACATCCATGAGACTGGGGCAGCTAACTTGGTGGATTTTAGTAAACTAAGGTCCCAGACAGACACTCATCCAAATCACTGACCACCTTTAGAAGATATAAGGATACTAGCTTATTATTTTGAAAATTGGTAAAAAGCAATCATTTATTGCAGTTCTGGCACAAACCATACTTCTGCGTAGATAAATAGTTGATGTAGGAAAGTTCTTTATAGAAGAATCTCAGCTAATAAATTCAAAATAGGTGAAGAGAATTTGAAAACCACCATTTTGCATACCCTAATGTAATAATGAATCTAGGCAATGTTCATTAGTGACTGCCAGGGGGTACCCTCAGGATGAACGGCGTCGGTGAGAGAGACAGAGAAGACACGTGAGACCAGCCTTGATAGGGCCAAGTCTGCAAGGGAGAGAGAGAGAGAGAGAGAGAGAGAATGACCAGACGAGGGTGCAGAGAGTCTGGAAGAGTCTGGCAATGCCTTATTTTTTACCATGGCTTTTATTCCCTAAGTTAGTACATTTCTAAGGGGAAGATAGTTGAACACTACATCAGCTTGTCCTTCACGAAACCAGGGTGTTTTCTGCATACTTCTTTGTTTATGAGGGTCTTGTACATTATCTTCTGGCCTGGGGCTATTAACATTTTATGCAGGTCAGGTGAATGTAAACCTATTTTCCATTTTTATGGTGACCTTAACTGAAAGGTAACAGTCTCATAGGGAAATAGTACAGAGTAGAATTATATTCTTGTTAATACAAAAATTAATCCTTCTGCAAAAGTTGTCAGTTGCGTTTATCTAAGAAGTTTACCCCATACTGACTCTGCGACTTTGGTGAGGCAGCTTCTGCCTAGCACTCCTGGCTGACAATTAACAACCATCTCATTGTTACCACACTAGGGCTAAGTTCTTATTTCTCTAGATCTTTAACTATATTAACAATGGTTTTTATAACACAACCTTAGCACATTAAAGGCAAAAATACAGCAAGCAAAACACAGCAAGCAAATCACAACCCAATAACCACCTATAGAATAATTTTTCTTATATTTTCTAATAGGACTCCTTTACCCCTTAAAAAGGCTCTATATCTATTAGGACTTTTATATAATCAGGTTCTTTATGCTATTTTATGATTAGGATATTATAAGCAATCATGCGTATTAGTACCAAGCGCATAAATGCATTTGGCTAACAAACTACCAGCAAAGGAGTTTAAATTAAAACTCTCCTTTCACCCTGAATAATCTCATAATATACCACCACCTGGGAAACTTATTGATTAAAGTTCTAAATTGATTCTTATTTGGGAAGAGATTGGGGAAGGCCTTCTGCCTGTGTCAGAAATTAGGGAGTAGTCTATTGAGGCAGGCATCAGAAAGACAGATATCATCTTTAAGGTGAGCACCGGGGGCAGCTTTTCGAAACCCCTGAAAACCTGATCCTCCTCGCCCGTCAGGCTTTCTCCCTTTTAGCCTTGTCATGGGTAGGGAGGGTCTCGTGTGTTGGCTCCCGGCAAGTGACTGTCCTTTAACACTGCTGACTAGAATGCTGATGAAAAGCTGCAGTACATCACTGTACAATGAATATCTCACAAAATCACTGTACAATGAATATCTCACAAAAACAGAGATAACAGGCACGTATGTGATTTTTGCTGCAGTAAAATGAGAATGAAATCATGCCATCTACGGAATGTTCTTATAGAAAATTGCTGGGCTTCTCTGGTGGTCCAGTGGATAAGAATCCACCTGCCAGTGCAGGGGACATGGGTTTGATCCCTGGTCTGGGAAGACTCCACATGCGGTGGAGCAACAAAGCCACAAATAGCCCACATGTGCTGCAGCTACTGAGCCCTTGCATTTAGAGCCCATGCTCCGTAACAAGAGGCCACCATAATGAGAAGCCTTTGCATTGCAATGAAGAGCAGCCTCCCACTCACTGTAATTAGAGAAAGGCTTCGCAAAGCAACAAAGACTGAGTGCAGCCAAAAATAAATAATTTTAAAAAAAAAAGAAAAGAAAATGACCTATGAATCTGATTAAACCTCCAGACCTAACTACCATTCACAGGAAAAAGAGGGACAAAGAAATATGTGAATAACAACAAGAGAGTGCAATCAATAAAGTCTAGAATATGGGATACTCTACAGTACAGATAACTCAGTTTCTTCAATAAGTAAATGATGAGAAAGCAACAAAAACATAGAGAGGCAGAACTGCTGGATATTACAGGAGACTTAAGAGATGACAATTAATCAATGTGAGAACTTTGTATTCTGATTTAAACAAGTCGTCTGTAAAAAACCATTAATGAGACAACTGTGGAACTTAAACATAATGGAATATTTGATGATAATTAAGGAACAATGGTCAACTTTTAGGTGTCACAATAGCATGGGGTTGTTTTGAAGAAAGAGTCCTTCTTAGAAACTGAAATACACACAGATGAAATGATATGTCTGGAATTTACTTTAAAAGAATCCAGTGGCCAGAGGCAGGGGAAGGAGTGGGAGTGGGCCGGGAGATGAAACAAGATCCATCATGTGTTAATTATTAAAGCTGGTCATGGGCACATGTGAATTTGTTTTAATGTTTTCTTTACTTTGGGGATTGAAATTCCCATAGTAAAAGAAGTGTTTTTAAGCAAAATGGTACTACTTTTGAACTTCTTAAATAATGCAACTGAAATCCAAATATACAAAAGTTGTATATTTGATGGAGTTAGAACAATATAGCAAATCTAAGAAGGGATTAATCTATTGAATCAAAGTTGATTTTCTAAAAATTTTGAGCATCCCATCCTAAACAGCACTTGGAAACGTTTTGTCCCATGCCCATACCTAAGTAGACAGTCTGCTTTTAGTTTACTTTCTGGGAATTATTAGCATAAAGAGAATGTAAAAATGCTGTCAATCATGTGAAAGACATCAGAGCTTAGATATCAAAAGGGGATCAATATATTTGAAAAGAATGGAACCCACTGGACTGGGAGTAAGTGGGAGTGTGCCTGTTCAGACACTGTCCTGTCTTCCTCCACCCCAGCCTCCCACCCCATTCCCAAATCTACCAGGTAACTCAACTCTGCACCTTAACCCTGTTATTAGGCCCTCCAGGGCCCATTGGTCTTCCCCTCTTCCCTCTCTCACTTTGCCCCTCTTTCTCCAGTTTCTGTGTCATGACCTGCAGCCATATATGGCATATATGGGAAGGGGCAGATGCCTGGCTCTGCCATAAATCTGCCCACAGGGAGGGGGTCCCAGTCCTCCCAGACCACAGGGAAGGGCTATGATCTTTGACCCCCTCCTCCCCTTAAGCCCTCTACTCCATCTTCACTTTTCTTCTTCTTCTTTTTAAAATTTATTTCTTTTCAGTTGCAGTGGGTCTTCATCGTAGTGCATGGGCTTCTCATTTCAGTGACTTCTCTTGTTGGGGAGCAGAGGTTCTAGGAGCACAGGCCTCAGCGGTTGCAACACATGGGCTCAGTATTTGAGGCACATGGGCTTAGCTGCTCCTCAGCATGAGGAATCTTCCTGGAGCAGGGATGGAACCCATGTCCCCTGCATTGGCAGGTGAATTCCTTTTCATTGTTGTTGTTAAACAATGATTTTATTGCTTGTGTACAATAGGCAAATTTATGCAACCAGGGCAGAGGCTGTGGATGACTCATATTTCCAACTGGGAGTGGGGCCGGGGGCGGGGAGGACTCGTTTTGTCTTGTACTATCGAGCCAACCAGTGAATACGACTCTCAATCAGAATCAGATGGAAGCCTATTATACAGAGTGAAGTAAGTCAGAAAGAAAAACACCTATATAGTATATTAACGCATATATATGGAATTTAGAAAGATGGTAATGATAACTGTAAATGCGAGAGAGCAAGTGAAGTCAAGTCGCTCAGTCATGTCTGACTCTTTGCAACCCCATGGACTGTAGCCTACCAGGCTCCTCTATCCATGGGATTCTCTAGGCAAGAATACTGGAGTGGGTTGCCATTTCCTTCTCCAGGGGATCTTCCCAACCCAAGGATCGAACCCAGGTCTCCTGCATTGGAGGCAGACGCTTTAACCTCTGAGCCACCAGAGAAGCCCAAAGAGGGACAAATATAAAGAACAGACCTTCGGATTCTGTGGGAGAAGGCGAGGGTGGGATGATTTGAGAGAATAGCATTGAAACATGTATATTACCATATGTGAAATAGATAACCAATCCACGTTCGATGCATGATGCATGAGGCAGGGCACTCAAAGCTGGTGCACTGGGACAACCCAGAGGGATGGGATGGGGAGGGAGGGTGGAAGCGGGGTTTGGGATGGGGGACACATGTACACCTGTGGCTGATTCATGTCAATGTTTGGCAAAAACCACCACAATATTGTAAAGTAATTAGCCTCCAATTAAAATAAATTAATTTTTTAAAAAAGAACCAGATGAAATTTAGCATCTTTATCCTTTCTGTTCTGCTCAAGATGCTTTCAAACAGCAACAGCTTTTTATTTTTTATTTTTTATACATATACAATGTGGTTTATTTAAATGGGATCATTCTACAGGTATTGTTTGTGTCTTATTTGCCCTCTTGAATGGTAAGTCACATATATTTATCCTTTTATTTACTTGGACATTTATCTAATATTTATAATATTAAATGATACAATTGAGTAAAAAGCAAAAGTCCATATTTGACCCCCTTCCTGAACCTCACTTTCATCCTCAAAAATAAATACTGTTATTATTTAAGGAAGCAGATCACTTAATTGGCTGCCTGTCCCACGATCCAGATTCTAGAATCTCCAGACAGTATTTATTGGGCACCCCGACCCTGGTCTGAGAGCAACAGCTTTTTAAAGTAAATAATAGAGATCCTCAGGAAGATCAGGAACAAGTCCTTTGGACTTAAGAATTCTCAAGATTTTATTGCCTTTCATGAAACCTACTTGTGCAACACTGTGTGATTCTCTCAAGATCATACCGATTGGTGAGGGAGGCAGGCCCTTCTTGGCCAGTTTGTAGACCTGCTCCTTCACGTTGTCAGACATCAGCTCCAGCCGGGTGGGGACACTGCAGTGGTAGGGGAGAGCTCACTGGGACAGGCCCTTCCCGGGAGTGTGCACGCAACCCAAGATGGTGGCGATGTGGTAGCAAGAGGCGCAGATGGATTCTTATCCACCAGGGAAGTCCCATCCTCACTGTTTCACCTCTGGGTCTCCAGACAGGCCTTCCTTTACTGCCTCTATCCAGGAAGTGAGCCCCCTGGGCCCAGCACCAAACCCACACCAGCTCCTGTGAAGCACTGGCCTCCTGTAGGAGCTGGCCAGGCTGCAACTCCTGAGCCATCAGTCCTTTGCAGGCTGCTGCCCATGATGGGAGGAGCTGCACAGGGAACGGGAGGGGACAGAATAGAGGGCTGGCAGAGGACAGAGGTGGTAAAATGAAAAGCATGGGCTGGAATTCTCCCCAAAAAGACACATCTGCAATGCTCCTGGAAGGAGAAGTGAGTCCAAAGGATGGTCAGCAGATGATCAGCAAATGATCTGGGGTGGAGGTAGGGGGAACCGTGGGATAAAGAGAAGGAGGGACAGCCAGGGGAAAGGAAGGCAGTCAGTTACTGAGGCCTTTATTCCAAAAACAGATGCTGTGAGAGCCCCTGGCTGTGCTGCGGTACCCGAGACAAGAGTCCTCTGGCAGAAGGTTCCTTGTTGAGAAGACATCACAGAGCCTGTGTCTGAGGGACAGACACACTAGCAGAGCTCAGAGCCTGGGAGACCCTCATCAGGGCACAGGCCTGGGGGACCCTCATCAGGACACAGGCCTGGGGAACCCTCATCAGGACTCAGATCCCAGGGGACCCACCCCAGAGCTCAGGGCTCCTCCAGGCTGGCCCTAATGCTCCGTGGCTTGTGGGAAGCTACCTGTCAGAGTTTCAGGGTTTCCACACCTTCTTGATATCAGGGCCACAGACCCTTCTTCAGGCACGCAACGCCGGCTGGGGAAGTTTGTCTGGAAGCACAGTGAGAACAGGCCAGGTATGAAGGAATGCAGGGCTTCCCCAGGGCTCTGGGCTGTGGGGCAAGCAGCTGAGCAATGTGCTCCTGCAGGGAGGAGGAGCCGTCAAACAGGAGGCTCCCCAGGTGAGGGCCTGGGGTGAGAAGGTTGGCCGAGTTCTGCCGGAAGGGCTCTGAGACCCCTGAGTCCCCTCAGTGCTCCCCCTCCCACCCCCACGTCATGTGGGCAGAGAGGTTGCGGTCTGAGGAGCATCAGGTGTCCGAGACAGAGCCCCTGTGAGACCAGCTTGCCCGATGCACCTGGTCGGGGGCACCAAAGACCCTCTGTGAACTCCTGCTCTGACCACCCCACCACTGGGCTCTCTAGGGCAGAGTGGAACATAGGCCTGGAGTCTGGCCAGAGGATGGGCAGGCCTAAAGCAGGAACATTTGATCAGATTGGCAAACAGTGCACAGCGCTGGCCCTACCAGTGCTCACCCGCCCTGCTGTGTCCTGCAGATATGTCATCTGCGTTGCTGTGTCTCCCTGACTCAGCGGTGGTGGACAGCTTGCCCCAGAGGAGTGAGCAACAGAGCCGAATGAAGACAGAATGAAGATTGGATGATGCCTGTCGCCTAGGGAGCTCTCCGGGAAGCATCCTACTCAGTGGGCCCTTGGTTTTGTGGCTACAAAAGGTACTCGGCACTCAGCCAAACCCGGAGGAATGAAAAGTCAAGCTTCCAAGGAAAAAAGTTCAAAGCACCAAAATTCTTTAGTCTTTGAGGGAGAGGCTACCCAGGGACTGGGATCTGCTTTCCCAGGATATGCCCAGCCTCTGCCCAGATGTGTGAGAGCCTGGCTCTCCAGACAGCCCAGCCAGCCGTCAACAAAGCCCCGACGGCTCACTCCCCCACATTGGCCACTGGATTCCAGTTCAGAACCTCTTGCAGGATCTGTGAGCCTGAGCCAGAGGGCAAGACATGACAGGAATTTGCACCATTCAAACCAAGACTCTCTCCTGGATCTGCAAATGGGGATCATCTAGGGCAGGGGAGATTTCTAAAAACAGTCATAACTTTGTCCCACTCCAGACCAACTGAATCAGAATCTCTGGTGGGATCCAGGTCAGGGGATTACAACATGCAGCCAGGACAGAGAGCCCTCGGCCCAGCTCCTGATGTGTGAAGGTTGGGCTTGGGAGGGTGAGCCATGGAGCATCTCAGTGACCTGACTTAATCTCTGCAGTCAGGTCTCCTGGACATGCATCAGTGTCCTGCTAACTAACCCTTATTCCCTAGAGAAAGCACAGACTCCTTAGCTTGGCACCTAATTGAGGCCCCTGGTCCAGAGAACAACCCTGAGCAAAACAGTATGTCCCAGGGGTGCTGTGGGATCTGCAACTCCTGACAGGGTCAGATAAAGGGAATCAGGGTGGGATGGGGAAGAGAGTCTGTGGGGGTAAGAACATGGACTTTGGATCAGTTGGGTTTCAGATCAGATACCACGACTTTGCAAAATAACCTCTCTGAGCCTCTTTTTCCCAAAATGAGGATCAAAATTCTGACTCAGATTTAAGTGGAAGGTTTAATGGAGAACCTCCAACTGGCACCCAGGAAGGGCTTGATACAAGAACAGTGGTAGCAACACTGTGGGCCTTAATGTGTTACTTGATGCAAAGGGGAACTACCTTTGGCTAGGGGTGTCAGTCAGACTGTGTATCCCTGCGACTGGCCAACAAGAATGATGGTTCCTGCTGGGCAGGTGGTGAAGTGGTAGAGTTCAGCTTGTCACGAGAACTGTCCAAGGCTACCCTGGGGGCTGGGTAAAAAGTTTGCCAGAGTGGGCTGAAGTCTGGGGGCAGGTCCAAAACCCCTAGAATCACAGCCCTGGCTTCTGCAACGCTTGCATGCCTGGAGGCTGGAAGAGAGACACCACAAATGTCACTTGCCCCTTGCTTGGAAACATCCCAGGGCATGAAGGTAAGTCCTGGGCTCTGTGGGAAGGGCTCATGCATGAAGACTGACAGACCTGTATGTGAGTCCAGACTGGGCCTCCTCCTAGCTGTGTGGCTGGGATGAATCAGAACCACTCTGAGCCTCCATTTGCCCATCTCTAGAATGGAGGTAGTGATCTCGACCTCACAGAACAGAGCTGCAAACAATGAGGAGTCACGCATAGGGTGCACTGAGCGCAGTGCAGGGCCTACAGTGAATGCTCACCACCCAATAGAACTTCCTGCTTCCCTTGTGCTGGAGATGAGAGATGCACAGCTCTTGGCTAGGATTCCAGCCAAGGATGCTGAGTCACAGGATGACCAGGTAACATCAGTGTAGGCATGGTAAGAAGTGGGTGACAGTGCTCCACTTATCAAAACTGTTGGAAAGAAAATCCTGACTGTCCATCCCTAAAGAAATCAATTGCAATTTTTACTCCTGAGAAATTGGACTGTGGCCTTCCCTGGAAATCTCTGCCTGCCACACCCCCAGGCCACCCTCCTGGGTGTTCCCGCTACTCCAGTGTTTGCTTCCTGGCTGTTTGCCTGTCCACGTCCCCGCTAGATGGTAAGCACTGTGTCTCGTCCATCATTGTAACCTGGGTGCCCAGCACAAGGGTCCTACCAGCTCAGCCTCTGAGACCCTGAACGTAGAGTGAGGACATTCAAACTCCAGGCTAGATCCTGTCCTCCAGATGGCATAGGCAGACCCCTGCCCCCTCCAAAGCCACCTGACCTACTCTGACCTCAGGACCACTTGGACATGACACACAGCTCACCAAGAAATCAGCCACCTTGGCTGCCAGGCAGGCTGACCTCACTGGGGTCTCTCCAGCCTCTCCAGCTTGCTCTTCTAACCTTTGAGAAAGAGTTTCATGCCCATTGCCCCTTCAAGACTGGTCTGTGTGCAGTGGCAAGGTCCTGTTATCTCAGGGAGGAGAGAGGAATTAGGGCTGGGCAAACACACACTTCTGGGAGGGCAGGGCAGCCTCACCATGGGAGAGGGCAGCTACCCCCGCCTTCCCCTCCCAATTTACACTACTTCCTGTCATCTCTTCCCTGCACAGGGGAGTATCTGAACTGGGAGCTGGGGGCTTCTGTTGAGCCTCCTGTGAAATGGGAACCCCCAGAGGGTTTTGAACTAGAGCGTGATAAGCTCTGACTTATCTTTTCAGATGACCCATCTGGCTGCTGTGTTGAAAACAGACTGAAGTGGGCAGGACTGGAAGTGAGACCACTTAAGGAGCTACTTGATACTGACGCTCAGACTGCACATACCACGAACCAAGGCTTAGTCCTCACAAAACAACAAACCTACTGTGAAGGAGATATAATTATAATCATGTTCTTTTCATAAAGCAAAAAGTTGAGTCAAAGAAGTTGGGTAACTACCCAAGTAGGTCTAGCCAGTATCTGGTCAAGTCAAGATCTGAACCCAAGCACCCTGGCTTTAGAGTCCACATTTGCAACCAGCTCACTCTATAGAGGGCATAAGAGCTCATCTGACTCCAGATGTATTTCAAAGGAAGAATCAACATGATCTAATGATGATGATATGATGTGGGAATCAAGAAAGAAAACAAGAATGATCCTAAGATGTATGTCTTATCACTTCTAATCAAAATAATATTGAAATGATGACTGGGTGATAACATAAGAAAAAGAAATAAATGAATAAAGTTTAGAAACAAAGAAGTAAATTTGTCTTTATTTGCAGACAACATGATCATATATGTTGAAAATCCTAAGGAATCAATCACAGAAGTTACTAGAAGCAATTAGAGAATTTAGAAAGATTGTAGAATACAAGGTGACTATATCAAAATCTTTCTGTCTCGATCAACAATAAATAATTGGAAATGAAAATTTTAAGTACCAATTACAATGTCATAAAAAACATGAAATAGAGATCAATTTATCAAACTATGTACAAGTTCTGTTCATTAAAAATTACAAAATATTATTAAGAAAACCTAAAGAAACAAAGAGATGTAAAGACTTAAAAATTATTTACAACCTTAAAGTTGAGACATGTTTTATTCAGCCGGAATTTCTAGGACT